GAACGTAATGATTCTGGTAACAAACATAATGGTGTTGCTATTCTTATCCATAAAAGCTTAACATATAACAAAATAACTACATATTATGACAATTCTTTACAAAATATATGCATACGTTTAACTGTAAATAATAGAGAACTTAGTTTAGTAAGCTTTTATTCTCCACTCCAATGTACTCCTAGGTTCGATAAAAATAAGTTTGAAACTTTAATTAAATCTATTCCACAGCCTATGATTTTTGGTGGCGATTTTAACGCTCACCATACTTCATGGGGATGTGGTTCGGACTCGATTCGTGGCAGAGAGGTCTTAGAAGTGATTGACAATAACAATCTTGTTTTGTTGAATGATGGTCAGGTTACAACAGTTGGTTCTATGTCTTGGCGTCCGAATGCTCTGGATCTATCTATAGTTTCTCCGTCGTTAGCTCTTTCATGTGATTGGTCTGTACACGATGATCCTCTTGGCAGTTATCATCTCCCTGTAATTATCAAAGTTCTTGTTAGAAAAAAAGGCAACAAAAGTTCTGATTCACATAATAATAGTATACATTTGCCCATCCACCCTAATTTTAAGATGGTTGATTGGAAAATGTATACCCAAAATGTAGAGTCCCTTTTAACAGACTGCAAATTAGAGAATTATACACCAATTGAAGCTTACTCTGCATTTTGTAAAATAATTAATTTAGCTATAGTAAGGTCGCTTCCACTTAGCAATTCTGCATCTATCAAAAATAGTAACAATACTAGGAAATCACGAGCTTTGCCCTGGTGGAACAAAAAATGTTTAGAAGCAGTTCAGAAATCCAAATTGTCGTATGTTAATTTTAAAAATAATCCTTCTGCTGAAACATATATAGAGTTCAAAAGATTACAAGCTTTAAAAAAACTTACCTTGAAAACTGAGAGAAACAATAGTTGGATTGATTTGTGTAATTCTTTTAATCGTTGTACCCCCTTGTCTCGAATTTGGAAATTAATGCGTAAATTTAACAAAACATATTCTTTCAGTAATAATAATAATGATGATTGGATTCCAGAATTTTTACAGAAATATACCCCAGATTATGTACATAATTCACCTAGTTTTCCCATAGTTGATCATTCAAATACTTCATATAACTATTTAATTAAACCCTTTTCTTTTCAAGAGTTGTTGTCTGCAATTCATTCTAGAAGGAATACAGCAACTGGTCTGGATGGCATTCCTTATTCCATGCTCAAAAAGCTCAGTGATAATAGCCTCCAAATCTTCTTATCCATTTTAAATAGTTTGTGGAGAAATAATGATATACCCGATCCATGGAAGTCTGATTGTATAGTACCCATTTTGAAACCAGATAAGCCCAAATTGAATCCAAACTCATATCGTCCAATCACTCTTACATCTTGTGTTGGAAAAATCTTTGAACAGTTGTTAAAACAACGACTTGAGTTTTTTGTGGAACAAAATCACATTCTACCTGCAAATCAATTTGGATTTAGAAGAGGAATGTCTGCTCGTGAAAGTATTTGCCAACTTCATCTTGATATTCAGAATAGTTTAGTTAATAAGAATTTCTTGGTATCTGTATTTTTCGATGTTTCTGGTGCCTTTAATAATATAAATATTCATGTGCTTTGTTCTGAATTGGCTTGTTTAGGAATTCCAAGTAAAATAATTCAATGGATTTATAAATTTTTGACAGAAAGGGAAGTGTATGTCAAATATAATAATAATTTATATGGTCCTAGACGTGCATCCATTGGAGTTTGTCAAGGAGGAATTCTGTCTCCCTTATTGTTTATTCTGTATATAAGACGTCTTAATTTAGTACTAGGTTCTCATGTTAAAAATTTACAGTTTGCTGATGATCTTGTAGTTTATGCATCTGGAAAAAAATTAACAGAAATTACCAACATTGTAAATAAATCTTTAGAAGGTCTTTATAATTATTTTTCTTATTTAAATCTTGATATCAATGCCCACAAATCAAACTTAGTTATATTTGGAAAAATTCATAGCTCAGCCTCCATTGTATATTATAACAAAATCCCTATCCCCATTTCTTGTGAAGCAAAGTTTTTAGGAATATCATTTACTTACAATGTGTCATGGAACAAATATGTTGAAATTATAAGTTCAAAGGCTAACAAAGCATTTAATGTTTTAAAATCATTATGCAGATCATCCTGGGGAGCTGATCCCAAAATATTATTAATACTTTATAAGTCTCTCATTCGCAGTCATTTTGAATATGGGTTTCTCTGTTTTTCTGGTGATAATAGACTGGTGGATAAACTAGAAAAAATCCAAAATAAAAGTATGAGAATTATAACAGGAGCATTTAAAAGCACACCTATAAATTCATTACAGGTTGAATGTGGATTACCTCCATTAAATATAAGATTTTCCTACTTGAAAGAAAAGTTTATTTTAAAACTTTACACAAAAAAAAATAATCACCTTTTTTTAAACTTGGTCAATTCACATATTTCAACAGAGAATCTTTACATTCTTCAGAATTTTTCCCAATTTTTAAATTATATTAATGGCTTGCAAATACACCAGTCAGAATTGCTACCTTGTTATCAGGGACAATTTGAGAGTAAATTCCCAGCAATAAATATTTTCATTGATCATAAATTATCTTGTAAGCAAGATGTTTATAATAAATTTTCTGAGTTTTCTGGTCATCGGTTCTTATATACAGATGGTTCAAAAACAGAATCAGCAGTCTCTTTTGCAATTTTTGATGAGCAATTGAAGTTAGGTACAGGTTACAAAATTAATTCCAACACAAGCATATTTACAGCCGAGGCTCTGGCTATTCTTGCAGGTCTAAAACATATTAAATATAAAAATAATGGATGTCATAAGTGGGTAATAGTTAGTGACAGCATGAGTGTTTTAGAAAATCTTAAAAACAATAAGTTCAATGCTAACACAAACTATCTTATATTTTCGATTAAACAACTTTGGTTAGACTTGAACATTATGGATAATATTCAAGTATCATTTGTTTGGGTTCCTTCACACATTGGTGTGGTAGGAAATGAAAAAGTTGACTTTTTGGCAAGATTTATAACCAATTCTTCAATAATCCCTGATTCCAGCAATAGCCTTAATATAACTGTTCCAAATAATGACATAATTTTTCTTTTAAAAAATAGATCCACTAATTCGTGGAAAAAACATTGGAATTTTAAAGTCCAAATAGAAAACAAAGGTTTATGGTATGCTTCTTTTAACGTTCCTGTAAATTCTACACCTTGGTTCTGCAAAAGTAACACTTACTTTAACAGGAAATTTTATACAACTATCCTGAGGCTTCGTTTCGGTCACTGTAGTCTAAAATACCATCTTTATCGTCTAAATATAGTACAAAGTCCCTTTTGCGATCGTTGTGACACTCAAACAGAGCAGTCTTTGGACCACATATTCTTTGAATGCCCATCCTTTGGCATTCAGCGCCTTGTGCTAATGGATGAGCTGATTGAGATTTATAAAAGTCCGGAACGGGTACCGCGCTCTACTTCAAATCTGCTCGTAAATACCTCCACATTTCTACCTTTGTTTAAATTTGTAGATAGCACAATTGGGCAAATATAGGTGTACATAGCTTAGGATAATTTTTACGTGTCTTTGTTGTATTTAGTCACTTTTTTCTTCTTTTTTATCCTATTTCGATTTTTTTGAGAATGAAGTCTCGAATGCATAGGTATTATTTGGTTGATGTCAATATGAAACGGGAAGTAACTTTTGTTTGTTGATGTTCTAAGTCAAAGAATAATTCAATGGGTCTTTGAAATTTTTTGAAACGTATTTTTATTGTAATTTTGTTTTTATACTGAAGAAGTTTAATATCATTTTTATAAACTGAAGACTTAACGTCATTTTTCAATACTAAGAAATACAATTCAACCAATGACGAGGCAGTATGGTCTATGATCTTAGCCTGTTCCGGAAGGAACGAATAATTGAAAAAAAAAAAAAAAAGAAAAAAATACAAATTAGGCTTAATGTTATTAATACAAAAATTTTGTTGTTTTCTTAATTTTAGTTTTTTTTTTACACTTTCCCCCGCTTAATTATATTACTCCACAGACTTATGATAGAGTTTATCATTAAGTTTTCTTAGTTTTTGTACTGCGTTTTTTAAAAGATATTATAATAAAATGTATAGGGAAAAGCCTTAATTTTTCAGTATTCACTTGGTTACAGCAAAATCTAATCTTCATAGTTCACACATAAAATGATGTCCCCAATTTTTTTAAATATGCATAATCTTAAAATATTTTTTCCCTTCTGGTATCCCCGTATACAGCCACGTGACAGTTCAACATTCATGCTAAAGTAAATTATTTACTATCACGTTGAATTAGAGTTTGTTTTTAATCGTGTGATTTCTTAGCTTAGTATCTTTTTGGGATTTGGTTTATGTTATCGCGAACGTATCGCGTGGCGGTTTTTCATGTAGTGAACAAAATGATCATTTCATCTAATCTGTATTTGTGTGCGGAGAGGCGACACTCGGTTCCCATACTAAATTAATATCATTATACTTCTATCTCTCTCTCTATGTTCTGTGCATTTAACCGTTTTTGTTGCATTACTTTCGTCAGCGGCTGCTCGTGTAAACGTTCACTTTCATGGATTACTTTCAAGACAGTAGTTTCGTACAATGCACTTATTTTGACACTTATGAGACTACTTTCTCGCAACTAATTTCACATCGATTAAATGATCGATGGTGTGATAGATTATTTCACATCAATTAAACGGCGACTGTTATTATGTCGCCGACACAACATTTTGTTTATTGTAAAATTTCGATGTCGAGGTATCCATTATATCAGAGACACTGTTGATTTTACGCCATTACGAAAGTAGTTTCACATATGCCAAAATTAGTTTCGTAAAAGTAGATTTTAGTTTCATTCAACCACGTTTTATATAAATTCAGCTAAGTCTGGTGTCATTCTAATAATCGATAAATAATCTCGATGTCAAAATAAAAAGTAGCAGTAAAAATACTTTTATTTTGGTCCTGTTTGTTCCGTAACATTAAATTTATCCAATTCAAATAGTTCTAAATTATATGTACCTTTAAATATAGGTAATTATTATTATATAATGAAAATATTTTTATTCATAATTTTTGAGCCACATATTATTTTTTAGGAAAAACATCATCCAAGTCGTCGACAGTGGACTCATTATTACTGCAAAAAAAAAAACATAAATTACTAAGAAAAGTAGTAAAAGTTAATTAGCACAAAAAATAAATAAAAAAAATAAAGAATAAGCAGATAAATAAGCAACCACTTTATGCAACAGAATTGTAAAATGAAATTAGCTGCTTAATTTATTTGTCTCCAAACTTTTTCATCTTTTTTCCAATATTTAAAGACTGTCAGAATGATTTATGTACCTACTCCTCAATTTTTACAATTCTTCAGGTCAATTTTTTAAACATTTATATGCGGCTCTATAATAAAGTTTTCTTTCTTGATTTCATTGTATTATAGACATGTACTCATCAGAATCTTTCTTTTTGGATATTCTGAAACGTCCCAAACAACGTCAATTTGAAACTAAAAAAATGTCAATAGACCGCATAATAAAACGGTTTGTGTTTAAAACAAACTAATATTTCGAACTTGGACAGGAATTACGCATTATTTCGCGTTTTCCTTTTTCTCAATTTCCGAAAAAACGCTCGAAGCAAACTTGAACGGTGCAATTATACTAAAAATAATATCCTGCCTTTTCATCTAACCGGTAACCTCTGATTTGTAATTATAATTAGGATCTCTTTTAGACCTTTCCATGTAGGGTAACCCGTGGCCTCCTTTGGAAGAATAGCTTTCCAATAAAGGACGACTCAAAAGTTCTGGCTTAAACTTTTTTAGATAATAAATCCAACATTTAATTTCTATGATTTCATCAGTGCCTCTGCAACAAACAATGTCATATAGTAAGTTCCAACTAATATGGCGCATGGTAATTCTTCGTTAGTGTAAAATAGACTTACGATGATGACCGAACGTATGATTAATATTTATAGTGAGTGTTGTATCTATAATTAATAGCTATAAGGTTTAAATATAAAGCATAAGGTGTCCGTCTCAATCACAGTCAGCGGGTGTCAGACACCTAGTATGGGTAGATGGCGCGATGGTGTGATAGTTAGATTATTCTTATTGGTCGACATTTGCCAAACTTCGAAATTTAGCGTACATCAATGAGAGAGTTCAATTTACTACACCATTATACAAAATGAATATAAATAACTACTTCTTTAGAAAATTCAACTGTCGCATCCTATATTACATAATTATAGCATTGTACTCACTCTTTTTTCACGTTAATATCATCTAATTCCCTTACATAATACGAAGGATGGTCTTCTAATATATCCAAATTCTTAAGCATATCATCACAGACTTCATAAATTTCACCTGAAAATTTATGACTTAAAAATTATCCGAATAACTTTGCTTAGAAATTGGTCACTTCAAAAATGTTTATATCGCTAATCACTACGAGAGTTTTAAATAAATATCACTAAATGATGACAAAAGAATTGAATTGAATAAAATATTAACTTTCCATAAGTTGGGAGTTGATATTCTTTATGTAAATATTATGAAATTTAACAACTAAACCTTTATATAAAAACAAAAACAACAATTCGTACTTAATACAGAAGTGATGGTACGCGGTGGCATTGCTAGCGGTACTCAGAGGGTCTCACACCTATATCTTCACGTCCTTACATACATCTTTCGCCTCATCCACTTTCATTAGTTTTTTCATCATACTCATAGATTATAATGGCTTCTAATATCACCTTCTTACAATTCGTGATTGATTTGATCGTGAAAGAAGTGTCGTGGCCTTCCTCAGCTTCTGCATCCTTCCACTTTCATATTGTATATCAGTTTTATAAAGAACTATATATTTATATAGATATCAGAAAATTGTGTTTGGATATGTCGTGCGGTTAAGCGGGTAGTACGGGGTCAAAGCAAACGGCTAGTAAGTATTAGGTCGAATGTATATTAAGAAACTAGTGGATTTATGTGTGTTAATCTAAAACATGATTTACAGGCATAAATCGCTATTGGTTGTGTAACCTATTTCACATACATGCATGATGAAAATAATTTCGGTAACTAGTTTCGTAATCGCGTCCAATCAACAGTATCTCTGACACTGGCTCCGTCAACATCGAAGCTTTGCTATGCACAGATGATGATGCGACACTAGTTTTGCCCTGTAAATCCTCTTCCTAGCTATATTCTGTCGCACGGTTGTAGGCCTCCTTCATTTTGAGCAAGTCTCTCAAATTTTAGCCTTTATCACTTCATTTCACTTCAACTGCCCTTTTTATATTGTCATGATAAGGCATATTCAGTCTTCGTTATGGACGTTTTCCGTCCCAGGGACTCCACTGCTTAATCATTTTATACCACGAGTAAAGACTCGTGGTTATGTAGTCATAAATAAAGATTTATGACTACATAACCAGTCCATTCCATGGCCATATAAGCTTTACTACATGATGTTTTTGAGTTTGCTCTTGTCTCTGAGCCACTCATTTTTTTATTTTTATGTTAGTGTATCTCTTACCAGTTTACTTTCGATTGCTCTCAGGCCTACTCTTATGTTTGTTGACCGTTCTTTGGTAAATTCTTTTGTAATATACTATATCTACTGATATAGTACCTAAGTTTGTAAATATTATCATCACGCCTGTGGTTATTTCTTATTTGTCTAATATATCATGAACTAGCTTTAGCTGAGTGGTTTTGTATTATACATAAAACCTTTCTTTTGAATCACCCTATCTATGAAAAACATACAATAGCAATAGCTCTGACATACAATGTAAATCTAAATTCCATCAAATACAATCATATTCTCACATTTTTTTATTATGTTATGTGGATGAGTAATTTATTATAAATTGATTGTAGTAAAAATATATATTTTAGACAGAAATATCAGTATACCTTTCACATTAAATCCATTACCCGGGCTATACAGCAGGAACGGAATATTATATTTTGTTGCAATAATGAGAGGATACTTCGTCTTTGTTGTACCATTACTGATAAACTTGCTGTAGCCATGTTCCTTATTTGTTAGCCAATGATGGTTTGGTTCATTACGTTTTAAAGTACCATACACAAAAACCTTGTGACTCATCTGGGCAAAAAAAAAAAGGTAGTCAACAGTTTCAACAAACTATCCTGACTGGTAATTGGGCATCATAATAATAATTGATAAAGCTGTACATACTAAATCATAAAAATACATGCACTTAACACAAGTAAAGCAAACCAGACAAAATAAACGCAACATTTTTGCCAGCATAGTACCTAGGGAAATATTTAGTGAGATAAAAATTATCCTATTATCTAAGTCAGCTAATATCTGTATATCATATTTCATCAAAATCCATTCAATAGTAATCTTTGAAAATACTGAACTGATCATAAAAATTACTTATGGCAAGCTACATGATATGCAGGTGATATAGGCTATTGCCTATGTCACCCGCATATCAGCATATCCCATGTAATTAATGACTTATAGGAAAACAGCTAGCCAAATACATTTTTTGGTTCCTTTTGTGACCATGAACATTTGAATAGTTAGTATGACAAAAAAAACTACAATATTATGTACCTAATGGCATTTAATTACAGTTATAAAAAATATATTATTAATGGTGCAGTACTCATTGGATTTACGACGAAGGTATAATCACAATAAAACTACCAATCTTAACATTGTTAAAGGGTATAATAATTACAAAGTGACGTAATTTTGAACAAGCGATAAATGAACGTATTCGAAAATAACTTACAGCTCTATAGTATTGTGTGAAGCAATGTAATATATTTCTATTGATAGATGATTTCAGCGATTTTATCATGGGTTTAACAATTACTTACTCTGAATGACAATTAGTGATTTGACATGATATTTTTTATTCAAAACCATTTCCATCCTTTGTTTGTTCTTTGCGAGAAAACAAAAAGGTCACAATCGAATAATGGTTTTTAAAATTACAATATTTTGTAGAACATAAAAGAAGTTACATACTTACAATTTTTTATTTTGCATCTAATGTTTTGTGATATGAATTGAATTTGGTTGTATCTTAGGGGTGCAAACTAAGGCAAGTTAATATTACCAACTTTTCACAGAAACCATACAGAAACTTTTTGCAAAACTATAGACTACGAATGCAAAACTATAGAAAATTACAAGGATTTCAAACCCAAATTATCAAATCAAAATTTAAAGAGAATGATTTTTGCCTAGGGATAAAAGTTCGTCATCGACGTATGATTAGGGATAGCGATCTGAGATCGATTAATCGAGGAAATGATTTTTCGAGCAAAAATTTCGATTTTTTAAATCGATATGAAGTACTGAGTCGATTCACTGATCGATATATCACCCTTGAAAATCAACATTCAATTTTTTCTGTTTTGATATAAACCAGGGGTAGGACACTTCCCTATATCACCATACAAAATGAGATTTGTATGGAAACTAGCGCCATCTTTTAAGCGATTCCTAAAAGATTTTGTAATAAAATTACTGCTATGTGATACCATAGATGTCACTACTACTGCATTTGTCGTTCTAATATGGTTATTATTAAAAATGTTTTTTTTAAAGAATTATTTTATTATTAATTTTAGAACCGTTTAGAAGTTACTACAATTATTATTATGTAAATGAAAATTTAAGAAATTACAAAATTTGTTCTTAGCAACATTGTTTGTGATATGGCAATAATAATGGCTGATCTGATGATGTTGTTGTTGTTGTTACCTGAGTATACATGACGCACGACGAGCAATTTTAACTTTTGAAGTGATGAAGTCGAGTTCACTCCTTCGTACCGCTACATTTCTTGGAAGAGGATTCTAGTTGAATTCGTTCCTCTGCAATTCGCGAAAAGATGTGTTGTTCAAAACTGTGCGAAAAGACGCTGAATTGGTTTTAGTGTTTAGTTTTAATTTTATTGTGTATTCTGTTTAAGCCATCCACACTACAATGCCTAAACGCTGTGCGTTAAGCTGCCCACTCTCTAGTGGTAACATTGTAAATGCAAACTTGAAAAAAATATCGATTTTTTAAGAATCGATTTTGTAGACCTCAACTTTTTCGTGAATCGATTCATTAGACTACGATTCGAATCGATTTGGAAAATCGATACTTTTCGTAAAGAATCGCCATCCCTTCATATGATGCACAGATTGTACCTAATTAAGAAAGAACGTTATTACTAATGATGTGCGGAATCAAATATCATTAATCGATTTTTGAAATAATGGATTGATATCGATTATAATTTCCTAATAGACGATTACCCATTGATTATTTCTTAAAACATTAGCAGTAGGAATAGTTTAAAACGTTAGTAAAGTACCTACTTACATTACTTCCATGGCTCAGCAACCTATAGCGGATCACGAGTGTGAATATTATTAGTAGATATTCTATTACTTATTATGGCAACCCTGGAATACTCCCATGAAAAAATAGGTAACTTTACTCTTTGGTCGGGGAACTTCCGATGAATGAATGACCGGATCTTACAGTTTTATTTTAACAAATAAAAATTAACCATTTCTTACTTAATGCACATGAAAGTATACACGGTACGTACCTATACCAAAATAATATTTTTTACATTTTTTGTGTCTCTTTGTTTCGGCTTAACTCCGAAACGGGAACGAAAACGAAACTTTCATGGCAGATAGCTTATGTAATAAGGAATGAAAAAGTATTAAAAAAAACGAAAGCACTCAAAAAGCACCTCCACTAGATGGCGAAAAGTTGATTTTTGCAGGAAACGAATGGACCAAAGACAGTGATTTCCGTTCTTTTTAACTAACATATTAAAAAACTGAAATTTGAAAAGTTCGCAACTTATTGTTAGATATCAATACAATTACAAATACGAAAAAGTACAAATAGAATATAAGTTGTTTATTTAGTTTTGAAAACTATTTACTTTTAAATATGAAAGAAAACCGGAAGGGTTGTCATGCAGTAATCAATAACTCAATCTCAATCAATTGATTTCGGAAACTAATGTTTTTTTTAAATACTTCCTCATTACTAAGGCTACTTTCCACGCGGATGAAATTGCGGATACAGGTAGTTAAATTCCATAAATTTTGCATGTACAATCTTGAAACATTGTCTTAAAATTGATTTTTAACTATTTTTCATTAACTCGGATGACTTTGAAACACGGTGGAATTAATCTGAAATCATTAATAAAATTTTGGGGTAAAAATATTTAATAATCGTTGTGATTAACCGATTATTAATCGATTACGAGTAATATTATTATCGATTAATCGATGTGTATAGTAATTGAATCGGCACATCATTAGTTATTACTCTGTTACCATAGACACATACATAATACTGGTCTGTTACATACATCGACGATAGTTAGTGATGATCAACTCGATCATAGATAACTCGATGTACTACCTCGAGTTCATTTGAGTTGGGCTTAGCTCGAGTTCGAGTTAGCCAATTATTTATGACTATATTCATTAGCTATGTCAGAACAACGCAACATTGTTACAGATTTGTGGTTTGTATGTATATAACATATATTTCAACTGCTGGTTGTTCGTTTTCTAAATCATTAAGTACTGTATAGAAAAAAATGACGAGACCTAAACGGATATATTTTGTGAAGACTGCTTAAATTAAACATTACTAGTTTTGTTTATAATTAATATAACACCAGCCCTTTTACGTCTCCACTGCAGGGGCTCAGACCTTCCTTATGGATGGTTAAGGAGAATGGGCCATGACCCTCCACGCTGGCCCAATGCGGATTGGGGGTACTATTAAAATACACCTTTAACTGATATATTTTAAAACCGATTTCAACAAATCAAATTTTCACAACATCTTTTAGTACTCAATTGCCACCCAAAATCATGTCATCATCCGTCAATGGCAACTTCAAAAGATGTTCAAAAGTGACAGTGACGACCCACTGATAAATAGTGCTTCCCCTAATACAATCGATAAAGCTTGATTTCCATGGTATTCGATAAAGTGTATCGTAGTCTTACAATATTTACTTCATGTATGTCACAAATTTAACATAAAATACATAAATACATGATAAAAAAGTCCTTTTTAATTAAATTTTACCTATTTTTATTAATTATAATGGTCCCCATACATATTTATGCTTAATCTGTTCTAATTTTTTAAATATTATTACGAAACACGATCATTAAATTGGTAAAAACAAACTAAATAATTTACTCAGTTTCATCCATGTTCATATCTCAGTTTCATGTTTTTCCGAGTTGGCAATCACTAATGAAAATAATGTTAAACATCGACATTATCCCTTCAGCCTCCAATGGCATATATGACACTTAAACACTCGTCCCCACCATCTGTTAGCAATATCACCACTTGACGCCTTTATTACGCTCTCCCGTAGACTAATGTACAGTCTGTCTATAAAGTTATGAAAAAAATTGAGGGCGCTGCGATCGTGCACGTAGCAATCCTGTGTAGTGAGACAAATGATTTTGATAGTAGGATTTTATTTATTTTATAGTAAAATATTTTTATTTATAAATTTTTATTTATAGTAAAATAAATCGGTTACTTTTATTTTACTTTAATTTCTCTAGAAAAGTTAAAAGCCATATGACAAATTTTCACTCTGTGATTTGAGTTCTCGAGAACTTGTTCAAGGTCACGAGTCCACAATACTGTGTTGAAAACACGTTCAAGCTATTTTGATACTTTTCCCAATTTTTGTATTTATTTTAGTATTTCTATGGTGAGATTCATTATCGATTCCCGAATATTTTAAACGACTGATCTCGAAAAGGAGTCTATTGTTTTTAGAATTAATGTATGTATGTGAGTATTTTTATTGCACCATAACTTTTGAAAGACATAACGGATATGAATGTACAGGGTATCATTAGAAACATCATCCTAAGTTACCACAAAATACACAGAGTATCAGTGAAACTAGCTTAATTATTAATATTAAATAGGTATGGGGACGTGTGACGCCATTTAAAAAAGTATGTTTTTTTATAATCATAACTTTATGGGTATCAAATTAAAGGTCCATTAAAAATATATAATCTGTATACAAAATTAACTGCTCACTAAAATGAATAAAATATAAAAATTATTTAAAAATTAAAAACACGACTGCTAAGATCGGACAAAAATTAAAAGAAACAAGTTTAGCCAAATCATAGGCTTTAAATATAAATAGCGATGACAATATATCAATAAAATTATAAATATTAATTAAAAAAT